AACCCGTGGGGCTCCTCTGCCTGGGAATCTACTGGTCTGTGCACAATAAAGATCTGTCTGGAAATGTGGTGTCCACTCACCCTCCGCCTTTCACTGGGAGCTGCAATCCTGAGCTGCTCCTAATTGGCCTTCTTGGATACCTCCATCTCTTTTGATCTTTGTTGCTTTAAAGTCTGTTTTTTTAGAGATGAGAATTGCAACTCCTGCATTTTATTTGCTCTCCATTTGCTTGATATTTCTTCCTACATCACTTTATTTTGATCCTTTGTGTATCCTTGCATGTGAAATGGGTTTCCTGGATACAGCACACCAACGGGTTTTAGCTTTTTATCTAATTTGCCAGTCTGTGTCTTTGGATTTGGGTGTTTTGCCCATTTACAGTTTGGGTTAATATTGTTGTGTGAATTTGATCCTGCCATTTTGATGCTAGCTGGCTGGTTTGCCCGTTAGTTGATACAGTTTCTTCATTGTGTCGATGCTGTTTACCATTTGGTATGTTTTTGGAATGGCTGGTACTGGTCGTTCCTTTATATGTTTAGTGCTTCTTTCAGGAGCTCTTGTAAAGCAGGCCTGGTAGTGATGAAATCTCTGAGTATTTGAGATTATTTTTATTTTTCCTTCACATATGAAGGTTAGTTTGGCTGGATAAGAAATTCTGGGTTGAAAGTTCTTTTCTTTAAGGATGTTGACTATTGGCCCCCACTCTCTTCTGGCTTGTAGGGTTTCTGCTAAGAGATCTGCTGTGAGTCTGATAGGCTTCCCTTGGTGGGTAACCCAACCTTTCTTTCTGGCTGCCCTTAGCATTTTCTCCTTCATTTCAACCCTGGTGAATCTGATGATAATATGCCTTGGGGTTGCTCTTCTTGAGGAATATGTCTGCGGTGTTTTCTGTATTTCCTGGACTTGACTCTTGGCCTGCCTTGCTAGGTTGGGGAAGTTTTCCTGGATGATATTCTGAACAGTATTTTCCAGCTTGGATTCATTCTCTCTGTCACATTCAGGTACACCTATCAAAAGTAGATTAGGTCTTTTCACATAGTCCCATATTTCTTAGACTTTGTTCATTCCTTTTTACCCTTTTTTCTCTAATCTTGCCTTCTCATTTTATTGCATTGAATTGATCTTCGACCTCTGATATCCTTTCTTCTGCTTGGTCAATTCGGCTGTTGAAACTTGTGTATGCTTTGCGAAGTTCTCGTGTTGTGTTTTTCAGCTCCATCAACTCACTTATATTCCTTTCTAAGCTGTTTATTCTTCTTAGCATTTTGTCAAACCTTTTTTCAAGGTTCTTAGTTTCTTTGCATTGGGTTAAAACATGTTCCTTTAGCAGGAGAAGTTTCTTTTTCTTTTTCTTTTTTTTTTTTTTTTTTTTTTTGAGACGGAGTTTCGCTCTTGTTACCCAGGCTGGAGTGCAATGGCATGGTTTCGGCTCACCGCAACCTCCGCCTCCTGGGTTCAGGCAATTCTTCTGCCTCAGCCTCCTGAGTAGCTGGGATTACAGGCACATGCCACCATGCCCAGCTAATTTTTTTGTATTTTTAGTGGAGACGGGGTTTCACCATGTTGACCAGGATGGTCTCGATCTCTTGACCTCATGATCCACCCGCCTCGGCCTCCCAAAGTGCTGAGATTACAGGCTTGAGCCACTGCACCCGGCCTGAGAAGTTTATTATTACCCACCTTCTGAAGCCTGTTTCTGTCAATTCATCACATTTATTCTCCATCCAGCCTTGTTCCCTTGCTGGTGAGGAGTTGTGATCCCTTGTAGGAGAGGCGTTCCAGTTTCGGACATTTTCATCCTTTTTGCACTGGTTTCTTCCCATCTTTGTGGATTTATCCACCTGTCATCTTTGTAGTTGTTAACTTTCAGATTGAGTCTCTGAGTGGACCTCCAGTTTGTTGATGATGAAGTTATTTATTTCTGTTTCTTAGTTTTCCTTCTAACAGTCTCCTCTGCTGTAGGACTGCTGAGGTCCACTCCAGGCCCTATTTGCCTAGGGATCACCTGCAGTGGCTGCAGAACAGTGAGGGTTGCTGCCAGTTTCTTCTTCTGCTATCTTTGTCCCAGAAGGATACCCACCAGATGTCAGTCTGTGCTTTCCTTTATGAAGTGAGTCTTTGGATATACGGGGGTCAGGGAGCTGCTTGAGAAGACAGTCTGTCCTTTATAGGAGCTCAAGTCCTGAGCTGTGAGCTCCATTGTTCATTTAGAGCTGCTGGGCAGGTTTCTTTAAATCTGGTGTAGCAGAACTCATAAACATCTCCCCCTCACCCCAGGTGCTCTATCCTGGGGAGTTAGGGCTTTATTTACAAGTTTCTGTCATGCTACTGCCCTTTTTCAGGGATTCACTGCCCAGTGAGGAGGCAGCCTCAGTCACAGTCTGCCTGCAGAGGCTTTGCTGGGCTGCTGTGGGCTCTGCCCAGCTGCCATGTGAACTTTCCTGCAATACTGTTTATATGGGTATAGTTAGAACTGCCTTGGTGATGGTGGCCCACCTCTGTAATGGTGGACTCTTATTGTAATGGCGGGATACCTCAGCAATGGTGGACTACCTCGGTAGTGGTGGACTGCCTCAGTAATGGCGGACGCTTCTTCCCCCACTGAGCTGGACCATCCCGGGTTCAGCTGTGCTTGCTGTGAAACTCTCAATCCAGAGCATTTCAGATTGCTGTTTTTTTGTCAGGGTAGGACCAACCAAGCCTGATCATCTGGCTCCCTGCCTCAGACGTGCCCCCCCCTTTTTTTTTAAGTTGAATGGGCGACTCTGTCTCCCAGGTGTTCCAGTCACCTGTTGAAAAGGCACCGGGATCTGTGTGATTTTCTGTGCAGTGACCCACTGTGCCAGCTGAAACAGCTGCATGGAGATTAATGGTGGTTTTTTGCCTGGGAATCTCCTGGCCTGGCTCCCTGTTTCAATCCCCTTTTTATCCATTGAATGGGAGACTCTGTCTCCCAGGAGCTCCAATCGCCAGCTAAAACGGCACCCAGACCTGTGTGTTTCGTGTGGAGACCCGCCGCGCAGACCAAAACAGCCACGCTGGTGACCCATGGGGCTTCTCTGCCTGGGAATCTCCTGGTCTGTGGGCAATAAAAATCCGTCTGGAAATGCGGCACCCAGTCACCCTCTGCGCTTTCGCTGGGAGCTGCAATCCTGAGCTGCTCCTAATCAACCATCTTGGATCTGTCCTCCACATTTCCTGTTTTCTTCTGGAAGCTGATGGTTTATTGGCTTGGATAAGGGTGGCCGAAGTGGGGATGGAGAGAAGTGGGTGCTGCAGGGCTCACACCTACCTCCCTACCTCCCTGCCCTGGCCCTGTGTCTGTGGCGACCTACTCTCCTCCATGGGGCCTTTATCTGCTGCTCGGCCTTTCTGCCGGCCACCTTCTGTCTTCTCTCCACAACTGCCTGTTCCTGCCCTCCACACCCAGATGGGTGGCCCCAACCTCAGCCTCCTATGGCACAAACTGATGCTTCTCCAGTTGGAAGAGGACCCAGGCTGGCTTTCCTGTCTGCCCAGTGCAGCCATGCTTTGTGGGGAAGACCAGCCACCACTAGGGCACACTGCCTGGCCACACAGGCTGGTGTTGCTGCTGCCCTCTGTGATAACCTGCCTGTGAGGGGCATTTCTTCTGTGTTGAGGTACAGCCCACTCTGCCTCGGGTCCCCTCAGCCACAGAGTGCCCCCCACCAGGTGGCCCCCAACTTGGGAGACTTGAGCACAGAGTGGGGGATCACACTGTCCTGGGTTTCAATCCTGGCCCCTCTATTAGCCAGGTGACCAGGGCCACTGAATACAGCTGGGCAGGTTGTGAGCTGTACAAGGCACTCACTCAGCCAAGAGGGCACATGGGGGCTCAAGTCCAGCCCACCCCCACCAACTGCCAAGCCAGGCTCCCTGACCCAGGCTATATTCATCTGGAGGGCGGATTCTCAGAAAGGAATTGTATGGGCCAGCAGTGCCCTGCAAGAGGCCGGCTCCCTCATCCATGAAATGGGCATTGGTCTGCAGTGTGAGGTGTGGCCTGGCAAGTGCTATAGTTGTTATCACGGCCTCTCCTGGGAAGCCCTCCTGGATCCGCCATGAGAGTCCCATAGGACCTTGCACTGATGCCTCTCTGCTTCTCAAGGGTCAGGGCCTGGCATCTCCAAGCCCAAGGCCAGGTCCCTGAGGTGAGCCAGCCCAGCCCCCAGTCTCATCCAGCAGCCAGATCCTAGGTGAGGCCTAGGCTGGAGCAGCCTGGGATAGCAGGTTTGGAAGTAGATGGAGGTGAGGCCCCCATATGGTGGGGCCTTCTGGGGCCCACGTGAGCGCTTAAAGCTCACACATCTTGTTCCCAGACCCTCTCCGATGGTCCAGGACATATCTTGCCTCTGGGCACTCAGGATCGCCTGGGGGCAGCCCTGAGAGTCCTTCAACGGTTGTGGGTGGGAACCCCAGAAAAGGCCAAGACTGATCTGAGATGGGGGAAGTGGGCAGGAAAAGCCTCACAGGTGGCGCTGAGAAGACAATAGTGAAGCAGGAGGGGCAGACCGTGGCTGCAAGTGCAGAGGCCTGAAGTAGGGCAACACCTAGAGAGAGGGGGCCTGACCGGGCACGACAGAGGGGCCGGGACAGGGAAAGCGAGGTGAGTGCTGGGAGGGCTGCGTGGCAGGCCCCAGGAGGAGAGCAGGTTTTATTCTAAGTGTGGTGGGGCTGGGATGGGTGAGGGCCCTGGCTGCCCAGGACTGGGGCCTCTGAGGACAGGTCTGGAACGTGGTTTGTCTAGTATAGCAAAATGGCTAGGGCCCTGGGAAAATGAGTGGATTGCAACCATCCCCTGGCTAGTGTGGCAGCTGGGGACTGTGAGGAAGCTGGTGCCACCCTTTGGGCAACTTGTGGGCAGCTGGGAGAGGAGGGATGGGGATGCCACCACCACTTTCAAGACCTCTGCACTCCCTCCCCAAGCTCCTGCCTGCTCAGGCTGGTCCCAGAGTCCTGACCCTGCTATCTCTTCCCAGGTCGAACTCTCCTGTCCCCACCTTGCAGGAGGACACCGACAGCGATGGGGAGGTGAATGGCCCAGTTCTGGGCTGGAATTCGGAAGCTGCCCCTCCCTTGTCCTGTCCCCACCCCTGCCCCCCTGGCGCTGTCCCTGGCCAGGTCCTGCCAACACCTGTGGGTTGCAGGAGCCACAGCTGTACTTCACGGAGCCCCAGCAGCTCCTGGATGTCTTCAGAGAGCTGGAGGAGCAGAACCTGTCGCTGATCCAGAACAGACAGGAGATGGAGGAGACGCTGGATGAGCTGAGCCACACCCTGAAACATACCCAGATCCGCATGTAGGTGCAGGGGGTCCCTGCCGTTCTCATCCTGGAACTCCCAACCCCCAGCACTAGAGCTGAGCTGGGGTATAGCCCCCATCCCTGTTCACAGCCCTGGTCTTGCCCAGGTTGCCTGAGAAGCTCCGTCCGTTTGTGGGCCGAATCCTGGAGAGAGGGTGGCAGAGCTGGAAGTGGGCGGTGCCCAGATCCCCATGCCCATGCTGCAGCAGCCCATGGCTAGAGCCAGGCCTCTCCAAGGACCTCCCACCCTAGGGGCCTTCTGCTGCTACCAAGCTCCTGGGAGGCCCTTGGGGTGGCTGGAGGTCCACAGGGACCCTGACCCCCTAGTTTCTGGCAGCACTAACATACTTTGCACAGGCACCCAAAGCAGTCATGTGCTCAGAAGGGCCTGGAACTGCTGCTGCTTCATAATCTTTCATAGACCACTGAGCGGGTGTTCATGGCACCGAACTGGGGAAGGCCAAGCCACCTGTGGGCTGCTGTGAAATGTGTACCCAGCTGTTGCTCAGCAGCATAACAGGGACAGGAGTGGCTGCAGCCCTGAGCAGGAGGACTTGGGTGTGGTCAGTGCCATCCTGAAGGCTGGGGCCAGGTGGGGCTGAGACAGGCAGGAATGGGTGAGGGCCATGTGGCCACCCAGCATTGGGGCCTCTGGGGACAGGCTGGAACCTTGGGAAAATCTCAGCCTCCCAATTCCAGCCAGAGAGGCGGCAGGAAGTCTGGTAGTTGCCCAGCTCTCACCTGGACCCCACCTGAGGCTGTTATGGTCCCTCCTGCTGCGTGTGACCACTCAGTCCCCTGCAGGGTACCTGGCTCCAGGAGAGCTGGGCAGAGCAGGGTCAGCCTGGGGTACCAGTGAGGCCTGTCCAGAGCAGGGAATCCTCCATTCCACTCACTCCCCACATGCTGCCTATGCATCCATTCTGTGTCAGGCCCAGGTCTAAGCTCTGCAAGGATAAAGCAAGGCCCTGCCCTCGTGCAGTTGACCTGTAATGGCAGCAGACACAACAAACAGGTCCACAGATGTGACTTGTGTATATTGATATGTTCTAGGAGGAAAATAAAGCTATTTGAGAATGAGGGCTAAAATGGAGAGTGACAGCAGATGGGAGGGACAGGGAAGGCTTCCAGGTGTCAGGCAACTTTCCAGAGTGGGAGGAAGGCCAGTCACACAGAGGCTGGGCAAAGAGGGTCCCAGGCAGCGGGAATAGCAGGTGCAAAGGCCATGAGGTGGGAGCCTGCTGAGGCTTAAGTGTTCTATGGGGGAGCCATGCTCCCAAGCACCCATGTCCCATTGATGCAGTGTGGTAAAGAATCCCCAAAATGCCGGGAGCGGTGGCTCAAGTCTGTAATCCCAGCACTTTGGGAGGCCGAGGCGGGTGGATCACGAGGTCAAGAGATCGAGACCATCCTGGTCAACGAGGTGAAACCCCGTCTCTACTAAAAATACAAAAAAATTAGCTGGGCATGGTGGCGCGTGCCTGTAGTCCCAGATACTCAGGAGGCTGAGGCAGGAGAATTGCCTGAACCCAGGAGGCGGAGGTTGCGGTGAGCCGAGATCGCGCCATTGCACTCCAGCCTGGGTAACAAGAGCGAAACTCGTTTGTCTCAAAAAAAAAAAAAAAGAAAAAGAATCCCCAAAATGACATGAAACTCCCAGCCTCAGGCAAGACCTTGTGCCCTGGAAAGCTGGGAGGTGCCGCACACAGAGGAAGATGAGTTGGGAAAGGTGGGCAGCCTCCCAGGTTCCCAGATAATCTGGCAAGAAGACAGGTTCCTCCTCCAACACACATGCAAACATAACCAGAATGCTGGACGTGACATCCAAAAGCTGTTCTTCGGCCAGCCAAGCCATCCCTGAGAGCATCCACACTTTGTTTCCAGAGGAGTTGGAGCCAGTGTGTATTTAACTTCCATGAACTCAGCCATCTCTTTTCAGAAAAAAATCAAAATACAGTTTCAAAAATATATGAAACAAATAATCTGAGTAGGCCTATATCCATTAACTAAATTAAATCAGTAACTAACAGCCTGACAAAAAGGAAATCCCCAGGCCCAGATGGGTTTGCTGGTGAATTCTGCAGAGCAAGAATTTCATCTAAGGAAGAAATTACACCAATTCCCTACAATCCCTGTCACAAGTTAGGAGCAGAGGAAATACTTCCTAACCCAGTCTGTGAAGTCAGTATGACCCAAATACCAAAACTAGGCAAAGACATTATGAGAAAGGAAAAGTAGATACCAATATCCCGAGGACCCCCATTCCACCATCTTGCTGATGCTATTCCTCTGGTTGTATCTTTAAATTTTTTTCAATCTATAGGTTTCCTTTCTCTTTTACCCCTTGCCATCCATTTGTTGCAGAAACCAGACTTCTCAGACTTTATGTACAGTTGAACCCCCCAGGAATCTTAAAAGGAAGTTTCTGATTCAACAGGCATGGGTCAAGGCCTAAGACTTATTTCACACTTGCAGGTCATGCCCAGGTTGGTCTGAGGACCAACTCTGAGCAGCATGTCCCTTGTGCATCTGTTTATTACACTTGAAAGGTGAGTGCTGAAATTCTACTACTAGATACATAAAATGCTAACGTGTCCTCACAAAAACCTGTATGTGAATGTTCATAGCAGCAATATTCCCAAGAGCCAAAAGGTAGAACAACCCAAATGCCCATCAAGGGATGAACAGATTCAAGTGTGGCCTATGCATGCAATGGAAGATTACTCAACCATAAAAAGAAATGAGGTGCTGACACATGCTGCAACATAGGTGGACTTGAAAATATGCTGGGTGAAAGCAGCCAGTCCAAAGGAAACATGTTGTGTGATTCCATTTTTAAGAAGTGTTCAGGGTAGACACAAAACAGATGTGTGGTGGCGTAAGACCAAGGGATAGAGGGGACAATGAGAAGTGACTGCTAATAGGCACAGGGTGATGATAATGTTCTAAAATTAGATTATGGTAATGGTTGTGTAAACTTGAATATACCAAAAAATACTCCTATATTCTATGATAGTTAATTTTATTGTCTGTGAATTATGCCTCAATAAACCTGTTTACTTTCTTTAATGTTGATGGTTAAGTATTTTAAATTCCCCCCTGCATTCTACCAGCATTTTTGACTCCCTGGACATGCAGAGACTTGGCACCCATGATCCTTCAGTCCTCAGGACAGCTGTTAGGAGCAAAGCACCATATAGATGGTCAGGCTCAGAGAAGCAATGCACCCAGGGCAGTGCTGAGTGAATGATCACCTGCTTGTTTCCCACTCCTCCAGGGACAGGGAGGTCAACCAGCTGAAGCAGTGGGTCACTACGATGATGATGTCCATCACCAAGGAGGAGGACACAGCAGCAGAGCTGGAGCTCAAAGCCCGAGTCTTCCACTTCGGCGAGTACAGGGGAGATCAGCAGGTAGGCTGGGGATCGAGGTGGCCAGAGGCCCGGGGAAGGAGGGGCCCTTGGGTACCCACTGAAGGAACCCTGACAGCCCCTAGGAAGATGGAGGGCAAGGCCCAGGTGAGTGCTCTGCAGCTGCCCTTGCCCTGCCTGCCTCCAGGAGCCACCACAGGTATCCATGCTCATGCCAGGCAGCTTGGTTGCCCCTATACCTCATTCACTGCTTCATTCGTTTATTCAATAAATTTGTCTGCTTCTTAAACACACACATTGTGCCTGGCAAGGTGATCCCGAAGGCGAGGAAGAGGCGTGTCCCCAAGCCAAGCTAAGAGGGTGAGAAAATTAGAACAGAAAGCTGGTGGTGTTCTGAGCAGCAGAAGCCAGGGACCGGCCAAGGGCTCAGCCTGCTCCCAACCTGACAGCACACTTGGGGCCACCCTGGGCATGGGGAGGCTTCCTACTGTCAAGCGCCAGTTGCATGCCAGGCACTGGGCCAAGGCTGTGGGATGCAGCCATGAGCAAGACAGCACTCCCCTGACAGCCAGAGTCCATGGGCACTAGCTGTGCCCAGGTTGGGCTGAGCCGCCTGCTTGCTGCTCCCCTCCTCACACAGCCCTGTGGAGGGGCTGTTACCTGTTTTCTTTTCTTTTTTTATTGAGATGGAGTCTCGCTCTGTTGCCCAGGCTAGAGTTCAATGGCGCAATCTCACTGTAACCTCTGCCTCCTGGGTCCAAGCGATTCCCCTGCCTCAGCTTCCCGAGTAGCTGGGATTACAAGTGCGTGCCACCACGCCTGGCTAATTTTTGTATTTTTAGTAGAAACCGGGTTTCACTATGTTGGCCATGCTGGTCTTGAACTCCTGACCTCAGGTGATCCACCCACCTTAGCCTCTTAAAGTGCTGGGATTACAGGCATCAGCCACCATGCCCAGCCTGTTACCTGCTTTCTAAGTGTTAAGACAGGCTCAGAGGACATGGCTCTGTTGGGAGCTGCGATCAATGCAGGGCTTCCTGGTGGAGGGGACTGGGCCCTGTTGGCTCATCAGAGGCAGCTGGGGGAGGGGCTGGAACCAGGGATCTGGCTGACTCCAGGCGGCCTACAGGGCCAGGCTGCTCTGGCTAAGAAATGCCAGTTCCCCAAGTACTGTTTCAGTCTATGTTCTCAGAGCCCCACTGTGTGCCAAGCAGGCGGCCCCACAATGGGAAGTCAGCAGGCCACCCCCAAAGGCACTGGTATTGGGGCGGGTTTCAGCCTGCCAGCCCCCTGCTGGCAGCCTTCTCTTCCACAGGATAAGTTGCTACAGAGCCTGAACCGCAAGGTGCTGGATGTGTACCGGCACTGTGTCAGCACCCAGCAGGAGGCGAACCTGGGCACCGTGCAGATGCTGACCGTCATCGAGCACCAGCTGGATGAGCTGCTAGAGAACCTGGAGCGTGTGCCTCAGGTCAAAATCGAGCAGGCTGAGAGGGCCAAGGAGAAGGAGCGGCGCATCAGGTGAGCTCCAGGCCTACCCTGCCAGCTTCTGAGTCCAGGCTGGCCCTGAGGGCAGACAGCACTACAGGCCCCACCCTCACAGCACTCCAAGGAGACAGGGCCCCGTGCCCCGTGTGTGCTATGAGAGACAAAAAGCAGGTCTTGGGGGAATCTAGTGGGGCATCACACTCAACTGGGGGGGGGGGTGGTTAGGGAAAGCTTTCTGGAGCAAAGGACAGTGACTTGATGTGGCCAGGAGGCTCAGGGTCTAGAAGATGGAAGAGCTGGAGCTCAGTTAGTGTGGCCAGCACGGCCAGCCTCAAGGCCACAGAGCAGCAGTGGAGGGATTTAAGCAGTGGGGCAAACACAGCCAGGTAAGGTGGTTAGATTCTTCCTTCTGGAGCTGGGCTGGAGGGGCGGGAGGCTGAGGGAGAGGGCAGCTGCCAGCACCTGGGAAGGCAGGCACAGCTGCAGCAGTGTTGCCGGAGCAGAAGGAAGGGTGCAGGGACTCAGGGAGCCCTGGGAACTTCAGCTCAGAGGGGAGTGGAGGGCGCAGATGGGCACCAGCTTGCCGTGTCAGGACACCAGCCTGGACCCAAGGCAGATGGGGGCTGTGGCTTTCCTGGCCTGTGGGCGGCCTGGTTCATCCATCCCGTGGAGGGTCATGAGACAGGGCAATCTGCAAACACACATCCATCCCCCACAAGCACAGGGGCTTTTCCTCTGGGTTCCTGGTATCCTGCTCGGAGTGGGCACTAGGCCAGGCTTTGAGGACTGGGAGTACACACAGGAAGGACAAGACTCTTGCCCGAGGGAGATGCTGGACCTTCATGGTGGCAAGGGAGGCCGCAGATGCACAGATCAGGCCATGGGTGTAGATTCAGGGAAACGAGCCTCTGGGAGAGGGGTCTGCTGGATGAAACTTAGATCAGCCCTTGCAGGATGCCAGAGCTAGGGCCTTGGAGCAGCAGGGCCCTGGCTGTCCTCTGGGCCTAGGCCACCATGGCCAGAGCAGTGGTGCTTTGACTATGGATAGGTATTGAGGCCTTGACCTGGCAAGAGAGGTGAAGAGGAGCTGGGAGTTTTCAGTCCTCACGGCCTGACCTGGGGACTCCGTGAGGAAATTACACACCTCCTCCCAGAACCGCCCCCGCCCCCGCCCCCGCACTCCACCGCCGACAAGTTTTCAGTGTTATCTCTTGCTGCCCAGACTTCGAGAAGAGAAGCTCCGGATGCAAAAGATCCTGCAGGAGGAGCGTCTGCAGCGGGCCCGGGCACGTGCCCAGGCTGAAATCAAGAAAAAGGTAGGCAGGGTCACCTGGGGGCTCTCCGCTGGAGGGGGTCCCAAGACAGCCTGGCAGCTGAGGTCCTGCAGCCCAAGCCCCTAATGCCTCTACTCTGAAGGCTATCACTGAGGCTCTGAGGGAGACAGTCTGCTTTAAAACCAAGGCCTCTCCCAGGACCTGCTTCCTGTAGGGGTCCCTTCCCCAAGCTGCCAGCCCATGGCCCATGGCGGGCTGAGACTGGTTTGACCATGCCCGCCCACCCCAGTCAGGTACACCCTGCTGAGGAGCAGGGTCCTACCACCCTAACCACACTCTGGCCAGACCCCAAGCCCTGCTCACTACCCGTCACTGGGGTCCCCCTACTGTTGTATCCCAAGGCCTCCACCCTTCCTGCCCTCTGACCCTAGCAGCAGGAAGCAGGTCCCCCTGTACCCACATCTAAGAGGTGGTGCTCCAGGGACCAGGTTTGCTCAATGCCGGGCAGGGCTGACCATAGTGGTCTGGAGCCGACTGGAGCTGCTGGGTCTCACCCTGTGCCAGGGGCAGGGGTGTGTGGGCATACATGCCTCTGGGCAGCGAGGCTCACTGGGCTTGTCTCCCCTGCAGAGAGGCAGGACACTGATGTGCCGTTCACGACCCCCGGCCCACAAGATCAAACAAGAGTCTGAGCACATGCTGATGGACAAGGAGAAGGAGGAGCTGCTATTTTTCTTTACTTAATCTTCACAAACCACAGCTAGGTTCTGGCTGAAGGCTTAGCAAAGATGTTGGTAGTGGAGGCAAAGACTGGGCTGGGTCTCGAGTGGCCCAACTGAGCCCTCTCCATCTCCTGTGTGCTCCCCTCCTCACCTGAATAAATTGTTGTCTCTTTGGAGTCTTGAAGCCCTGTTTAAGGAAGCAGCCACTTTTGCCAAATCTCAGCATTCCCCTTTTCATTATTTAGCCCTAAGCAGATGCTTGAGGGCAGGAGCGTGACACCTTGGTCCTCATCTGAAACAGCTGCTCTGCAAAGCAAAAGCCGATTCCACGCTGGGTGTAGTGTGAGATCAGCCTCTGTACAAAAGACCAACGAAACACAAGCAGGCAGGTAGGCATATGGTAGGGCCAGGGCTACCAACTGCAGGAGAACAACAGGCTGAACGCCATATATGCAGCTCCTTGAATCAAGCCAGGTAAAAAAAGCCTTTAGGGCATGACTACACAACAACTTTCATTGATTTGCACTAGGAGTTGGGTCCGTCACCAGCAGGGAACCTCAGTGCCCAGAACACCAGGTGCCAGTCCCAGTCACTTTGTGGTGGCGTTCCCAGGGAGGCGCATGAGAGAAAAGTAGAGGCCCAGAGGGCATTCCTGGGGGCACACCCTGCACCCCGATGGAGATTGGATGGGTGAGGCTCCACCCCCAACACCCATGGCCAAAAGCCTGGAGGGAGGACGACTCTGGGCCACGTTGGGGCTAAAGAGCCTGCCAGGGTGGGAAAGTTCTGGCCTCGCCTTTAGTTGGTGACAGAGCACAGGTCTCTGAAGAAGACCCATTTGCAGATGGGGGTGTGGATTCTTCCATGTGGAGCAGCACCTGGGAGAGCCCCTCAGAGTGGGACGAGACAGGGGGAGTATTCACTCAAATTTGGTGTCACCCCCAAATCCAAGAAACAAACACAGGGCAGAGTTTCAGTCTGAGAACCAAAATGGCCTCTGAATGAAAACACACTTCAAAAGGCACGAGGCAAAAAAAAAAAAAAAAAAATCACTTAGGAGTGACCCTGTGTCTAGTCTGTTAACTTACAATAAACATGGGCAGGGTGATCAGCTTGTCTCCTTTTGCAAGACAGATCTTACGCTGTAAAAATACACACTGACAAAAAATATATATATACACTGACATATTATGTGCATATCACCCTCAACAATAAAATACATACACCAATCACAGCCCTACACATAATCTATAGTATTCAGAACATCGCTTTATAAACTGTTGTCAAATTACCATTTTAACATGAATACCCAAATAGAGAATTGAGAAAATTATTTTAAATTTTAACTCTACCACACCTGAGCTCTCAGTTACGAATTTAGTCTGGGAAGAGGGATCCATAATAGGCCACTGAGGTCCCCTGTCCCACCCCATCATTCTTCTCCCAAAACTAGCTGCCTGACTGCTCTGCCAGACTTGGGCCATTTGGCTTCACTGTGGCAATGGGACCACCTGGGTCCTACAGTGTGACAAAACCCCATCCCCGGTGCTGGGATGCTCACACACTGAAGCTGAAACACCTCCCTTGGTTTTGCTGTAGTTCAAGTTGCATCTGACTAGAGTCTGTTCTCTACCCTATTTCCTGCAGGAGCCTTGTTCTTTGTAATGGAACAAGTGCTACACAGCTCAGATCCAAAGGGACATGGGGAAAGGGGCTGTAGTGCACCTAGCCCTGCTGAGGGAGATCCCTGCCTCGCCAAAGCATTTTGCTCACAAAGGCAGTTTCAAAGAATATAGCCCAAACTAATTCCTTGTAAAACAAAAGGAAACCATTTTTCATAAATGTACCCAAAGTCTCAAGAGGGCTACGCTGGTCTTCTGAACAGAAACCAAGTGGGGTCTCCCGAGGCCCACGCCATCTGAGTCTCGGGGAAGGCGTGTCCCAGATCGTGGCCTTGGGCCTGCCCAGGCCGGGGCTGCCATCACTGCAGGTCCTGCAGGTTGATAGTGCTTCCTGGGAACTGGGCAGCCTCTGGACCAGCAGGGCCTCCGGATGCAGGGACCACCTCCTGCAAAACCAAACAGTATCATAAGGAGGGAGGAGGGAGGAGGGAGGAGGGAGGAGGGAGGGGAGGCAGACAGATCCTGCGGCTCCACACAGCAGGCAACTGACCAGGCTCATGGCAAGATACCTGACTTCTCTTAATCAAAACTACAGGCTCCCCTTATTCTAAACACATGTTCTTTGATGGAAAAAATGAACTCATTACTATAAATTTTTCCGGATTGTTCTGTCTGCACACTGACATATACCCTCACATGTTCACACACCATGTGCCTTTTTACACAAACAAAATCATCTTTAATTCTGCAACACTTTCTCCCTACTTCTCATGCGGTAAGCACACCCAGGTGTTAGGTGTCCGCCCGTGCCCTCACAGCTGACCAGCACGTGGCCCACGGTTACGGCAGCCCCATCTAGCCCATCTCCTCCTGCTGGAAGAATTGTTCCTGCTGTTGCATCATTTGACTCCAGGCTGCAGTGATTATTTCACTGTCTTATTTCTTTAGGAGCAGTCCCAGGAGAGGGCTGCCAGGCAGAATGGAGCAGACGCTTCTGAAGTTCTCTCTTCTGTCCATCCAAACCGCCCTCCAGCTCACCACTCTGCAGCCTGGGTGCCCGGCCCTCTGCTTCCACCAGCGCTTCTGTCCAAGTTTGGTTTTGATTGCAAGGCAAATGCCGAGTAGCCCAATTTCAATGCAAAAAAAAAAAAAAAAAAACTAAAACACAATTTGCATGGATTTGTGTGTATGTGTGTGTATACACACACACATACATAAGCCAAATTGTTAGAAATAGGATAAGCTATACACTTTCATTATTTCATATCCAACTATGAATCATCCATTGCCACCTATCCTTAACCACATAAGCAAACTACTGAATTTGTCCGGGTCTACTCTCCCACAGGCTGGGCCCTGGCCAGCCCGCTTCCAGAAAAATAAACTGATATTCCTAGGCACAACATGTTTCAAGAGTATATTAACCTCTCCTGCTTTGTTCACCAGCAGGAGCTGTTGCATCCTGCAGATCTGAGCTCCACTCACCCACCTTCTCCAGAAGGCAGCAAGACATCCTACCAACCAACCCACTGAGCCTCCCCAGCCAGCCAGCCTCAGTGACCAGCCTGCAGCTGTGAAGCCAGCCTTCCAGAATATGGCTCTGCGAGTCTCAGTAAGAAAAACAAAGGGCAGTAAGGCATCCAAACCTGGAGGATATAGACGGGCAGGTCCACGGTGAGGAAAGGAAGGAAGGCGGCTGGGCCGCGGGCCGAGGGCAGGACACCTTCACCGGAGGGGTCATCCTGGGGAGGCAACAGAGAAAGTCCTGTCACATGTCTGTGAGAATGCAGCTACAGTCCTCATCTTACCTGAGAAGTTTCCTCCACTGCAATGTGTGGCAGAGCCAGCCCAGCCCCTGTATTCCAAGGGAGGCCTGAGGACCCAGCAGGAATTGCTTATGGGGACTGGGGCTTTTTCCTGTTCCCACCTGGTTCTCATTCTCTCATCTTGATCCCAGCAGCTTTTGCTGGGCCTGGAACCTTCTGCCGTCCAGCTCCTCCCCTCAGTCAGCCCAAGTACCAATTTCCCTCCTAAGGCATGCTCCTCAACTCTTTGTGGGTACCCTGGCACCCCCTGCACCCCCACCAATCTCGTGTACCCACAGTACTCTCCAGCACCTCCTCGGGCCCAACAGAGAGGCCTTTCCTGCATGCCCCAGCTTGGGCCAGCTGGAAACACCAGGACAGGTGGAGGGGCTCCGGAGAGGGGAGGCTGCCAGGCTCCTCACAGTCCAGGCTAGAAACCTCATCTGTCCCATATTTCACCTGTCCTGCACCTGCACGTCTGCCCAGGGCATTCACACCCCAACGTGAAGCTCCTGGTGCTGCTGCCCTGTACCTCTCATTCCTTCTACTTGAGAAGCTCCTGTATGTCAAGCACTGCACTACTGTTTCCATTTTGTAGATGAAAAAACTGAGGCCCAGAGTACTTAACTAACCTAGACTACACTAGCTGGTAAGGGACAGAAAAAGGACTCAAACCCAGGTTCCCCTGTCCTCACAGCTTTACTCAGGAGTCTCTTACAAGTATACCCGCTACCTGCTCCTCTTCTGCCAGTGGTGCCAGCTTCCTCACCAACTCCCCATTGGCAAGCCTCTGGTCCTGCCTCTGCACCTCTGCCCTGCCAGCTGAGACAGTGTGCCCTTAGACGGTCCTCCCCCTCCACTATCCCTGCTCCTGGGGAGTTTTTACTTCTTCACAAGCTGGAGAGAGAGGATCAGTGCTCCGGCTCATCTCTAAAACAAGCTTCAGCCCCCACCTGATGCTCACCGCTAGCTTCTGACCAGCACAGGGCCACACCCAGCTGCCTGCAGCCTCCTTCCTGCCCCCCTTCCCAGTCCTCCTCTGCCCAGGCCGCCCCTCCTCTTGCCTCTCTGAGCCCTAGCCCTGGTCCTGTTTCCTTGGCGGAAGCCTCTCCTAGAACTACAAACCTACAAACCCACGAGCGTGCCTGTTTCCCAACTCAGAGCTAGTGTCAGCTCTGCCCTCCGCACTTCTGCAGGGCCTGCGACCACATCCCCTGCCACAGAAAAACTACAGAGTGGCGTGGTGAAGAGGGGCACACGCCTGGGCCAAACCTAGACAGCCCCAGCTTATAAATCTCTCCTCTCTTCAAATCCTTCCAAATCACCTTCCCTCCCCATTCTGGCCCCTCAAACTGAAACTGAGGATGCAGGTGTGCTCAAAGATTTACAAACTGGACACAGGCGCAGGTATCTGTGGCCTAGACACACCACAGGGAGGGGGGCGTACACCTGCCCTGGAGGGGCTCAGTTTAGTAGGAAAGAAAACAAACACTGAAAAGACCCCCACTACCTTCAAGTATAGGAAGGCTGCTAGTGCACCACAGGCAGGCCGCCCTAGAGATGGGGTGGCTGAGGCAGCCTGTGGAGCCCCTTTGCCCCACCCCTGCAGAAGGGCAGGCTGGCCTCAAACAGAGCTCATCCTGCTGCAAAATACTGAGCCCTGGGGGCCTTGGAGGGGGGACATGAGCTGCCCTGGGGCTGGACGCAGGGCCATGCACAGACAGGGTCAGGAAGTGGATACACAGTCCC